GAAAAATTTTGGGCCAAACATGAAAATTTCGTCAATAATTAATTTCATCCACTAACAATATTTTCCACATAAAATCAATACTTTCGAAGAAATCAACAACCTTTGTTGCCTAGAAACCGTCCCTGGTGACGTGTTTTCCCGGATACACATAAACCTGATCGACCAATCGCTTGTCGACTCTTCGATAACAAGACGCGTATCATGGCAACGAGTGAATACAAACACATCAACTTTGAAATCAGCTGTCAGTAAAGCCGTATTTATTGCAATTGGGGTTTTAAATTAACCGGTTTTTACACGTTGGTTTTGGAAAAAGTGTTTTATTTGTTGGAATTCTCTCTCCAAGGATTGAACGGCCCGAAAATGTGGCTTTAAACCAGAAAATTAGCGATTGCGAAGAGAGTGTAAAACGAAAGAGGTGGCGGTGTAATGGTGTAATACAAAGAAACATATTTTTTGTTTTTCCACTGGCTTCATATGATATAAGTGTTTTTTCTTTTCTTGTAATGTGGAAGATGCGAATGGTTGGGTTTGTTTGGGTTAGTAAGTGTTTTTTGTGGGTTTGTAGGTGTTTTTTCTGGCTAGTTTGTTACAATTTCTTTCTGTTATTTTCTTATTCTCATTGCTCAATTCTTGTTTAGCGCATTCGCACTCTCTAAACTTTCACCATAGTGTGCAGGCATCTACTCAAAAAAAAACTGCATTATCGCCGGCTCTACCCAAATAAAATTAAACATTTCTGGGAAAATCAACGACAAAAAATGAATCATCAATTGAGCGAAGTTTTGTCCATGTATTACAGCATAATTTTAAAAAAAGATTAGAAACGTGCAGATACGTGCACGTTTTTTCGCTAGAACTTCACTTTGAAAACACGTGAAAAGTGCGTGCTTCCGGCACGATTGCATTCACGTGTAGATTCACGGACTTGTTACAGCACTTTATTACATCACTACGACTATGTTCAACATTCCTGTGCGATTTTATAGGCCAAATATGTC